TTGTACCTTGTGGGAGACAAACCTTTTTTGTGAGACTTGTGGGTTGTACCTTGTGGGAGACAAACCTTTTTTGTGAGACTTGTGGGTTGTGCCTTGTGGGAGACAAACCTTTTTTGTGAGGCTTGTGGGTTGTACCTTGTGGGAGACAAACCTTTTTTGTGAGACTTGTGGGTTGTGCCTTGTGGGAGACAAACCTTTTTTGTGAGGCTTGTGGGTTGTACCTTGTGGGAGACAAACCTTTTTTATGTGACTTGTGGACCGTACACTGTCGTAGGCAAACCTTTTCTTTGTGTCACTTGTGGACCATACTCTGTGGTAGGCAAACCTTTTCTTTGTGTCACTTGTGGACCATACTCTGTGGTAGGCAAACCATTTTTGTGTGACCTGTGGGTCGAACACTGTCGTAGGCAAATCTTTTCTTTGTGTGACTTGTGGGCTGTTGACTGTGGCAGGTAAATATTTAGTCCTCAAGCGACTCTAAGATCCGATAGAGACATTGCATTGGCACTTTTTGACTAGGCTGAGCTGATATTTTTCTTTTATTTTCATTATTTCATGCCAAGTGCAGGAAAGACGTCGAGTTATTTGACAGAAAGATATAATTAAAAATAAGAATTAAAGTCTGAATCCCAAGTGATTAGTAATAGGGGCGAAGGCTGTTTGACAGGGTAATCAAAGTGAAACAAGGAACCAGATGAAAGGTGTCACACAAGAATCTTAATCGAGCAGCAACACTGAGATTAATGAGATGTGAATGAAAACACACCCTGAATTCATATTGTAAGTTCAACAGCAAAATAATCGGGAAAGTATCTCATTTAAAAAAGTTTACGGAGTGGCTACTCGCCCGATGTCGGGTGACTAGCGTCTACGCATGTTCCGGGAGAACGAATTCGGTCCATTAGCCCCGCCTGGTCTGCCGCCTCTGGCCCTTGGGGATTTCTGCGCATGCTCCGTGTTCTGATCTGTGGGGATTTCTGCGCATGTTCCGTGTTCTGATCTGTGGGGATTTCTGCGCATGTTCCGTGTTCTGATCTGTGGGGATTTCTGCGCATGTTCCGTGTTCTGATCTATGGGGATTTCAGCGCATGCTCCTTTAAAATTCGCGTGATCAATCGCGCAAGATTCAGTCACTCACTCGGTCACTCCTTGTCATCCAAGTCAAGAGTCGGATAGGCCAACATGGCAGCTGAATTATATGTGGGGAAAGACTTTCCAAAGTTTTAGAGACTTGAGTGAAACAATTAACAAATTTTGCCACTTTTCACGTGAACCATTTGTAATCGCAGAATGCAGAAAATTCGGTGCCGAAAACGCCAAACTATGTGAAGAAATGAGAATGCCCAAAAACTGACACGGATAGGTTGGTGTATTCTTTTGTGAAGTATTGATGCTGCATTTCTATTAGTAGTAACTTTGTCACTGGCTTTCCGATGAATGATAATAATTAAACAATTAAAAAAGGGTGATAGATCTAGGGGATCTACAACAATGTAAACTCTGGAGGGAAACCTTGGAAGACGACAAAAATAGATGGCGGAAAAACATCATCTATGATCTATTTTGGGCCAATGACAAAAGTGTGCCAGATGCCCTAATTAGCTTCATGTCGCTCGGAAGGCCGCGAGGCCGTGTTTACGCTACCGAATACGGGGTGCCCACTACGGATGGGATCGCCCGACTCGGTTGCCTCAAAAACAAACTTGTGTTCCGTTTCAGGCGATCGGCCCGATCCTGCCGTAGTGGGCACCCCGTATTAGACTAAAACTAAAACTTGGTGACCGGCTCCGGGTGGGCAGAAAATGTTAGCTACCCGAGGTCGCAGAAATCCCCACGGGCCAGTAGCGTCAGGCTACTCTACCGAATTCGGTCGACTAGCCTGACGCTAATCACCCTAGATCGGACGAGTAGCCTGATGCTAGCCACTCGACATCGGACGAGTAGCCTGGCGCTAGTCACCCGACATCGGGCGAGTAGCTTAACGCTAGCCACCCGACATCGGGCGAGTAGCCTGGCGCTAGCCACCCGACATCGGGCGAGCAGCACCGGCCTTATATTCCTGCTAATAGGGCTTACTAAATTTAACTAAAGATGTGAATACGCAAACAAAATGCGGGGGGCTCTCGTGGCCTAGAGGTTAAGGTGTTAGGCCTCTCATTCAAAGGTCCCGGGTTCGAATCCGGGTAGCGACCGAAAAATTTTCTTCTCTAAAATTGTCTCCTTTCACCTCCTTTCCTGCTCTCTAGCAATGTTCTGTTGTCTGCTTTCAATTCCACTTTCTTCCCCCACCCCCTCACCTCCTTTGCCCCCTCCTCTGGGCTCCTGACTCTTTCTGCAGCCTTTCTACTGCTACTCCTTGCTTCCTCCTTACTGCTGTCTTTCTGCCACACCCCTGATCTTCTGGTAGGAAAGATCTACACCTAGCCTTCTCGGACAAGGGCGAAAAATCTCGGAGGGCCCGTGTGCAAGTTGCGCACGTTAAAGATCCCTTGGTGGTCTAAAATCGATAAGAGTAGGCTTCGGCCGCCACCCGGGCAAAATTCAAAATTTCCTACCAACTGAAAATATCAGGTGTGTCCCGCACGCTCATATGACCTATGCAGTTGCGAGCGCCGTAAAACACTTTACAAAAACAAAAAAAAACCAAAAAAAAACGCAAAGAAGCAGATGTCAATATATGACAAGTAATACATGACAATTATTATATTTTTATTTCAAATTTGGCTGTTTTACGGCCAGCAGCTGGTGTCATAATCGAGGCCACAATCCGATTATAGGACAGGAAAAAGTCGAGGGAAGTAAAACCCAAGCACTCGCAGCAGCCGAGTGATTATTAGAAGGAGTTAGTTCCCCTCACATTTGTGAGTTACAATCATAGAGTTACCCCTTTTAAACTAGAGCCAGAGAGTATTTTGTTTTGTTTGTTTTTGTAAGTGTTTTACGGCGCTCGCAACTGCATAAGGTCATATGAGCGCGCGGGACACACTAAACTTTTTCAGTTGGTAGGAAATTTTGAATTTTGCCCGGGTGGCGGCCGAAGCCTACTCTTATCGATTTTAGACCACCAAGGGATCTTTAACGTGCACAACTTGCACACGGGACCTCCGAGATTTTTCGCCCTTGTCCGAGAAGGCTAGGTGTAGATCTTTCCTACCAGAAGATCAGGGGTGTGGTTGAAAGACAGCAGTAAGAAGAAGCCAATGAGTAGCAGTAGAAAGGCTGCAGAAAGAATCAGGAGCCCAGAGGAGGGGGGCAAAGGAGGTGAAGGGGTGGGGGCAGAAAGAGGAGACGAAAGCAGATGACAGAACATTGCTAGAGAGTAGGAAAGGAGGTGAAAGGAGACAAATTTAGAGAAGAAAATTTTTTGGTCGCTACCCGGATTCGAACCCGGGACCTTTTGAATGAGAGGCTAACACCTTAACCTCTAGGCCACGAGAGCCCCCCGGAGAGTATTTAATTACATGTATATATATATTAAACATAGTAGTATACAGGGGCGAAGGCTGACTTGTTTGACAGGGTAATCAAAGTTAAATGGGACCAGATCTGGCCTGTAGATATCACACAAGAATCTTACTCGAGGCGGCGACTCTGAGTTGTGAATGAAAACAAATCCGGAATTCATATTGGATGTTCAACCGCCAAAATAATCGGGAAAGTATCTTATTAAATATCAGTTCCCACTAAAATTAAACTTAACTTTAGATGTGAATACATAAACACAAAGCAAAGAAGCAGAGATGTCAGTACTAGATCTATATGTTATAGATCTACCAGTGAGTCTAACTCTTTGGTAGAACATGACAATTATTATTTTTTAAATTTCACATTTGGCTGTTTTTGTTAGCCTTTCGCGGCCAGGAGCTGGTGTCATAATCGAGGTCACGATCTGATTATAGGACGGTAAAAAGTCGAGGAAAAAAACCAAGCACAAGCAGCAGTCAAGAGATTATTAAGAGTTAGTTCCCCTCACATTTGTGAGGTAGACTCGACCAGTGTTAGTTAGCTTACTTAATCAGGGCTTGTGTTTGATTTTAACTGTGGCCCCAAAGGGGTGAACAGGGTATATGTGGCAATGAAACAGCTTTGACTGCCATGCACATGTTCCCTTCAACTCTATTCCAGCCTCACTTTAAGCTTATTTAATCAAAGCTTGCGGCTGCTTATGGAGTGGGCCGAGAGGGGTGAGGAGGCTATTTCTGTGGCCGTGAAACCGTTTTGAATGTTAGGCATACTGTTCGTTGTTGGTTACGAACGTCTTTTTACATTTAATTTATGAGGTTTACGTTTAAGGATGAATTTGACAGCAACAATGTTTCAAAATTAGAAAGGGAAGCAGTGATTATTTGATTATATAGACGCTTCGCCCCTGGTAGTATAACAACTCATCACAGCTTTTGTCTGACAGTTCAGTGATGTCTGTTTTCTTTTATTACATCATCTATTTTTAGTGCATAATATGAATATGTCTTATAGACACAAATAGTCACTCCAGGTTTCTTTTTGAAAATATAAAGAGCCATTAATAAGGTTCAGGGCCATATGAAATTAAGGTTGACTGGCAGCTAGATCTTTTTCGCAATGGGCAGGAAATTTCTTTATCAAACTGAAACAGTGTGCTTTTTATTGTTTTGTTTTATTGAATGTTGTCCAAAAACACCTAAGTAAAGGTTTTTGTTTCAGTTATCACTACACTATATAGAAAAACAATTGACTAGGCTACAAAACAACATTTAAGTTCACTTTTTTATCTTTAGTGAGTCCAGAGTAGTCACAGTTGTTTTACTATAGTCAAAAATTAGACTTACTTAAAACAGCAATATTAGGAGCTTTAGTTTAAGTGCTGTATATGGTCTACTTTAGATCTTAAAATCAATATAAACTAAAGTTTAATACTGACATAAGAAAACACTACTTATTTATTATACTTTTTTTTTTTAAAGTGAATATATGAATGAAAAATACAGTTTCCCTTTTCAAATGTCACAAGGGAAAGTTTAACTCGATTTTTAAAATACCAGTACATGTATTCATCATTTGTTTGGCTGAATTTGCTTTATCAAGAGCTTCATTGCCTTCCTACTCCTAAAGGCTGAAAAACTCTAGAATGTTTTTCCTACTGCTCTTGCTGATTAAATTTAATGCCAAACTCATATATTTGAGGGGGGGGGGGGGGGGGGT